GCCGCGAGGGCCAGGCGAAGGGGACACAGCGTGGGCACGCGCCTGGTGGCCAGAATCCACGGCCTGGCCCGGGTAGTCTTGCAGGCCGGGTATCCGGGGGCGGAGAGCAAAGCCAGAGGCGAGGGAGTGGGGTGAGTGCCTTCAGCGCGCAGAGGTCACGGCCCACGGGCTCGCTTCCCCGGGAAATCCTACAGATTCTTTTGTGGTCCTTGTCAGAGGACCGCGGCCGATCTGAGGTCCTTTTAGAAGTGTGCAAACCCTTCAGTATGTATGAAAGCCCTAGAAAAAAATATTTTTGGATGCCATCTCTAACAAAGCTGTTTTTTGGGGCGTGGGACGTTTGGATTTGTAAAATGTGTATGTGTTGAAAACACAAACTGCACGCAATTGAACAATGGGGGATGGATGCTCTCCCTTCCTTTTCCGGTGTCCTCTGCTGCTCTGCTTATTAAAATGGGCTCTAATACCTCCTGTGTGCAGGACTGGTGGGGAAGAACTTCTACAGGCGCTTCCCTTGGAGGACCAGAGCCCCCCTGGCGGAAAGTATTCATGTGGGATCCCGATAGCTCTTGCTCCAGAAGTGGGATGATGGGGAGATGGATGCACTAGAGAAGGGTTTCTCAACCTTGGCACTACTGACATTTTCGGTCTGATCATTCTTGGCTTGGGGAGGAGTGGGGCTGTCCTCTCTATTGGAAGATGTTGAGCAGTAACCCTGGCCTCTTCTCACTAGATGCCAGCAGCATCCTTGCTCCCCAGTTGTAAAGATGAAAAACATCTTCAAGCATTGCTAGAAGTATCTCACACACGTGTGTGAGAACCACCAGTAGACTAAATGATCTTTCCCTAAAAGTTCCCTGGGCCCCATCTCCGATGCTTTTGAATCTAGTGCTCCCAGGAGGTTGAACAAACTCAACAGTAGGAGCCTCAGTTCTCTTATCTGTAAAATGGGATGGATGAGAATATTGCTGTGCAGACTGAAGGGTGTGGGAAACCCTTAGCATCGCACGTGTTCTGTGCCTGGTAGTCACTGGATATAAGTTATAAATAGTTGACACTATTTAGTGAGGATTTACTACGTGCTCTACACTCACAGACATTTATCTCCAGCCCCTGAGATAGGTGCTATCATAATTTCAGCTTTAGGGGTGAAACCGAGACTTCAATAGATCATTTAATGTGACCAGTCTTACACAGAAAAGTGGCTGATGGCAGGCAGGATTTGAACTCAGGCCTTCTGACCCAACGTCCTTACTCTTAACCACCAGATTTTACCGCTCTTCTAATCACAGGGTCCAGGGACATTCCTTTCAGTTACCATTGAGCATCTTCTGTTCCAGAGCGCTGTGCTGGAATCTGTTAGAAAATTTTGCAACTTCAAGGTCCATGAAGAAACCAAGATAGATGAACATCTCAAAATGTGGAAATAAGTCATGTTTATGTCGAAGCATTGGTTTGGAAGAGGCAGAATTTCAGTTTGGATGTGTTGAGTCTGAGATGATGGGGCAGCAAGTGGAAAAATGAGAGAAGAGTTAGGAAAATACCATCTTCCTAATGCCTTGCTTTTGCCTCACTCCCTCCCACTTCCCACCTCTATCATCTTTCCACACTCCAGCAAGAGTTGTGTTTTTAAATGCAGATCTGATTATATTACTCTCAGTTAAGTGTCTTTGGATGTAAAAAAATTAATTTTTTAAGCCTCTTTAGGTCGCTTAAAAGCTAAAGTTTGGGATCCCAAGTCATGCACGTTCTGACCCTCGCTTCGTTTCTCATTTCACCTGATCATAGGCCCTAAATGCCAACCCTCTCTGCCTGTTGCCTCCACTGCCTGAGGGCTGTTCTCCTCCACCTAGAGATCTCTTCCTCATGCTCTGTGGCCCAGGTCAGAGCTCACTCACCATTTGAAGCCTCCCCTAGCTGCCACTCTTATTCTGTCTACCCACACTGGAATCAGCTGTTCCATCGTTTGTGTCCCCATCTCATTCAGTTGAATCAAATTAATGCTGAATGGCCAGAGAAGTGCAGTTAGCTCTTTTCGCCCGTAGATGGCAGTAGTGAAGCGGCGAGGCTGACCTGAGACTAGGTCGGGGGAAGACCAGAGGAAACCAGCCTACCGAAGGGAAGTTAGCCTTGCTTCCCTCCTTTTGCCAACTCTCTCTGCCCCGCTGCTGTGTCCCACGCCCTGTGCTAGACTGGGGAGGCACTGGCGATTGTAGTGTGGGCATAGATCCTTTTAGCCTACTCTGTTGAGTCTGGTGGTGGTTATATGCACTGGCTGGTGTGGAAGTACAGAAAAGGAAGCTATTAACTTAGCCTTGGTGGGCAGAGGAGATCACAGAATGTTTCCTGGAGGAGGTGAATGTGAGGGGTGGGGAGGAGTTAGCCAGACCAAGACTGTGGGGAAGGGCTTTGTTGGGTGCAGGAACAGCACAGCAAAGGCATGGAGGTGGTTACACTGTGGTTCAGGGAACCATGTGGGGTCTGGTATTTCAGAGGTAAGAAAGGTGACATGAGTGGTGACGAGAGGACTCATGTAGCTTGTGTGCAGAGGGCTTGGATGTTGTCCTAGAGGCCAGGCCAAGAGTGGCTTTTGGGCAGTTTCAGTTCACAGGGTGAAGGAGTCAGGTCTGCACAGAGGAGGAAGAGTTGGAGGTAGTATTGCTAAAGGCCAGCAGACCATTTTGGAGGTGATTATTTTCCTGCAAATAAGAAAAGTCGCGACTATAACCCAGGCTGTAGTGGTCAGGAAAGAGAGGGGATGGGTTTGAGACGTGGTTAGAGGGTAGAGGACATAGGACTCTGGGTATTTAGTTGTGGGATGTGAGCAAGAGAGAACAGCGGTGGATGCTTCTGGGTCCCTGCCTGAGCCTGGTAGGTGAATAATGGTCACTAAGAAAGAGAAGGCAGGAGAAGGATCCATTTAGAATGTGAACGTAGACCCAAAAAAAGCACATCACTTGAGTAGAATGCATGTCATGGATATACAGACAGGAAGTGGGTGGGTGCCAGAAGTCAGTGTCTGTCAGTATGTGTTGGCAGGACTCGCTTATCTGATCACTGTCCATTTTCACTCAACCCAGAGCCTCAGTGCCCTGGCCAATCAGCAGTCACTTAAAGATTGGACACGTGAAACGTGACCACTTGTTCCTTGTTGCGGGAAACAGGGATAAGTGAAAGAAACTGCCTCCCAGAGGAGTTCACAACCTGAACTGGGGAGAAAACACACAGATGGGTGAGATTAAGTAATAAAAGGATGAAGCAGTGGGGAGTGACAGCCTTGAGAGTATTAAGAGAAATGATTGTCCATTGTTTGGGTTGGTTTTTGATGAAAGAACTGGTGTCCAAACTGGTTGTTGTAATCAGGGAAGCATGGACAGCAGTTTCCGTGTGCAGCCAGCAGCCTGAGTCAGTAAGAGAGGAGGCAGGCACAGTGAGGTCTGGAAGCCTGAGGGGACCGGTTTGGGCAGGCAGAGGGTCAAGAAGGTGAACTTGGAGATGAATCTAGAAAAGCCTGCCAGGGTCAGGTGGTAGAGGCTTTCTGGACACAGTTGAGAGGTGAGCTGGGAAGCTTGCTTTTCTGAGTGAGAAATAGGGGTGAGCAGAGTAGTCAGGAGGCTTTTGCAGCCCTGAGATGGCCCGGAATGGCCTGAACTTGAGTCTCAGGACTAGGACAGCTTCTTTATCTACATGCCCACTGCCTTGCTCGTGCCTGGCACCGGGTGCACTCCGTGTGTGCTGGGGGAGGGAAGGGTTAGCAAGGAGCTCAGAAGTGACTGGATCCAGCCATCCATCAAAGAGGCATTCATGTCAGAGGAAAGATTTACAGAAGGAACAGTCCAGAACAACCCAATGGCTAGACTGAAGACACTATGAACAGAAATGGGGAGACAGAAGGAACAGGAGTGATTTGGAGGGAGAAGACCAAATTGGGCTTAGAGACGCTCAGTTTGAAATAACCATGTGAGGAGAGCAGTTAGGAGTCATTCTAGGCAGAAGGTGACAGGGACCTGAATGCGGACGATGGCAGAGAGGTGGGGGAAGCGAGGTGTCTCAGATGTAAAACTGGCAGAACTTGGTGCTCACTTTGCTTTGGGGGATGGAGAGAGCTGGCCTGGGGGAAAAGTGTGTGCGCCACCAAATGCAGTGATTCAGGGGGAGGAGGAGGTGTGAAGAGGGGTCTAGGGCAGGAGGGGAGGAGATGAGGGTGCTTGCAGCTGGAGACCGGCCGCTCAGGAGACAGACTCTCACCTGGATTTTGTCAGTAAAGTAAGAGTAAGAGGGCAGGACTGGAATAAGGTTCATGTCTCTGGTAAAGAGATTAGTAGGCCTGCTGATTCGTTCAAGGTTCTCTTTGTGATTGGTGAGTGAGCGCTGACTACCAGCAAGATCTTCCACATTCCATGGGGTGCTGTGAGCATGAGCCCTGGCGGGTGAAACCACACTGGCTTCCATGAAACTGGGGTCCATTAGAAATGGCATCAGAAGTGTGGGTGGTTTCCAGGGCCCCAAGGGGAAAGGGTTGAAAGTGTTCCTTAATGGACCTGGAGGTGAGCGATGAAGGGATAGCTTACCAAGTGTCAGGAACTGCTGGGGGCTGGTGAAGCAGGTGATACCACCCCAGTTTGCAGACAAGGAAGCTGAAGTGATGCACCCACTGTTGCTCGGCTGATGAGCAGTAGGGTTAACAGTGGAGCTCAGCTCTGTCAAAGCCCGTGCCGTACCCTGTTGCTCTGCTGCTCTCTGTGAGAGTCCTGGAGGGGTCTTGACAAACCAGAAAGAAGCCTTAGCAGGGCTGTGGATCTAATCAAGCCTCCTTGGGGCCTGTGGAGCACTTTGACTGGGCCAGACCCTGGGATGCACTGATCTGCACGTGCTCTGCTTCTCCCCTGGGCTCCTTGGCCTGGTGGGTATGGAATTGCTGTGACTTAGACGGAGCTGCCAAATCCGGGCAGCTCCCCCAACACCTGCTGTGGCCTATGGGAAGAATGAGTAAGGAAACGTAGACCAAGTCGATCTGAGTGAGCCTTCCCCTTGCGTGGCAGTTCTAATTGGGTCAGGTGGTGCCTTTAGTTTTTTTTTTCTGGCACCATAGTGTTTCCTAGGTGACCTTACGTTCCTGAGATTTTTTTTT